GTGTGTGTGTGTGTGTGTGTGTGTGTGTGTGTCCGGGCTATGCTCACTTCATAAAATGTTTGGGAGCTTACTGTTCTTTTCTATATTCTGGAACCATTTGTGTAGAATTGGTGTCACATCTTCTCTGAATTCCTGGTTGAGTTCCCTTGACTTTTTTTTTTAAAACAGTTTTATTGGCACTTCATCCACATATCATGCACATGAACTTATGTATGGTTGGAAGTTTTTAATGATCTGATCTATTTCTTCTTTTGTTACGCGTCTATCAAGGTTTCCTATATCAGCCCGTGTGAATTTTGGTAAAGAGTGCAGCGCTAGAAATGTGTCCAGTTTATCTGCGTTTTCAAACTTGTTGGAGTCCAGTCTTTCACAGTAATGTGTTACTGTGTTTTCATTTGGTTCTACTGCGATATCACCTTTTCCATCTCTGGTGATTGGTATTTGTCTCTTTCTTTGTTAAGTTTGCCAGTGGCCTATCGATCCACTTTCTCTGATAGCAACCATACTAGTACAGGTGAAGTGTAGCCCCAGGCTTTTGATACGAAGCTACCTTAAGTCTCAAACTGTCCAAAGCAAATGAAGAGGAGAATCCAACAGCAGCCTCTAGTTCTACAGATTAAAATGGCTTGGGATGAGTTTAAGGTCTCTTTTTAAATAGGTGGAGAACTAAAACCAGGGTCTGACCAACTAGGATCTCCAGTGGGTGGGTGAGAGTATTTTATAGCCTGGCTAAGCATTTACATTTCTTTGCATCTTGCTCTCAAACATGCATTTCTGTGCTCACTGTTTTATATATTAGTTTGTATCACAATGATATGTTATAAACTTGGTTTTCTTGTCACTGTATTAACTATGGAATAAACACACAGCAGACTTGCTTGCCACCAAATAAGAACTTCAGCACACCTTTGTTGTTTTAAAAATCATCACAGTGGCTTAGAATTCTGCTGCTAACCGAAAGGTCGGCAGTTCAAACCCACCCAGGACCCACCCTGCAGGAGAAAGATGTGACTGTCTGATTCTGTCAAAATTACAGCCTGGAAAACTCTATAGGACTATCACTCTCTGTCTCATAGGGCCACTGTGCAATGGAATCAGTCTTGATTCTGACTCAATGCCCCCCAAAAACCCAAAAACCTCACTGCCATCACGTCAATGCCCACTCATAGCGACTCTGCAGGACCAGGTAGAACTGCCCCTGTGAGTTTCTGAGACTATAACTCTTCAGGATTGTAGGAAGTCCCATCTGTTTTTTTTAATCATTTTATTGGGGGCTCGTACAACTCTTATCACAATCCATACATACATCCATTGTGTCAAGCACAGTCGTACATTTGTTGCCATCATCATTCTAAAAACATTTTCTTTCTACCTGAGCTCTTGGTATCAGCTCCTTGTTTTTTCCCCTCCGTCCCCGTCCCCTCTCCCTCATGAACCCTTGATAATTTATAAATTATTATTATTTGTTCATGTCTTACACCGCCCGACATCTCCCTTCTTTCTCCCGAGGAACAGTTGATGGTTTTGAACTGCTGACCTTGCAATTAGCAGCCCAACGAGCAACCACTATGCCACCAGGACTCCTTATCATAGGCACAGCTTATCATATTGATGACAAAAGATTGAGTTTGAACATCCTGACCTGTGTGTCTCAAATGTTTCATTTTCAACAAACAAAAACAAAACAAAACAGCTCGTTGGCATATGATGGAACCATGCACACTTTACTGAGCGTGCAACCCGGTCCGTGGGCAGGGACGGTTTCTCTGAAACGTGGTTGTTAGATGCCACCACACCTGTTCTAACTCAAGCACATTGTGGAATCAGAAGGAAGCGCTGTCCGGGCGCATGCCAGCCTCGAAACCCTTGTGCTTGAGCCCATCACGGCAGCCGCTGTGTCAGTTCGTTTCACGGAGTGTCTTCCTCTTTCTCCCTGACCTTCTCTTTTCCCAAGAAAGATACCATTCCCAGAGACCGGTCTCGCCTGATAAAACGCCCAAAGCAGGCGAGATGAAGCCTCGCCACCCTCATTTCTAAGCAGTATTCTGGCCGTACTTCTTCCGAGACAGATTTTGTTGGTTCTTTTAGTAGTTTGTGGTACTTTCAATATTATTCTCCAACACCGTAATCCAAAGGCATTGATTATGCTTCAATCTTCCTCGTTGATTGTGCAACTTCCACAGTATCAGAAGTGATTTTTTTTTAAGTGATTTAAAATACCATGGCTTCGGTATTAGGTGCGCCCTAATCTTCAAAGTGACAACCCTGCTCTTCAACATTGTAAAGAGGTCTTGGGCAGCAGATTCGCCCCTTTGGGTTTTCAAGAGTGTTAACTCTCTTCAGGAGTAGAAAGCCTCATCTTTCTCCCAACATCCCAATAGCTTACCTTATTCCAGTTCTATTTCCCCCTTTTATGATCTTTCTTTCTTTCTTTCTTTCTTTCTTTCCCTTCTTCCTCTTTAAGGCAATTATCTCCCAGCTCTGCTAACTTTGGGGCACATAACCATTGGCCACACCTACGGACTCCATAGCTTAGGACTATGACGTTAAGGATCCACAGGGCTGTGACAGGACCGCTAGAGGTGTCCACGGGAAACTAGAGCTGGAACCTCGTCTCCAACCCCCAGCTTCATGTTGCTCCCCATCCCCACCCACCTTTTTCCCCAGGCAACACAGGCTCTCTATGGAACCAGAAAACCGAACCACAGTGTCAGAATTCTTCCTCCTGGGACTCTCAGAGAAGCCTGAACATCAGCCCCTCCTCTTTGGGCTGTTCCTGTCCATGTACCTGGTCACCATCACTGGGAACCTGCTCATCATCCTGGCCATCATCACCGACTCCCACCTCCACACGCCCATGTACTTCTTCCTCGCCAATCTGTCTCTGGTCGACATCTTCTTCTCCACCACCACTGTCCCCAAAATGCTGGCCAACATCCAGACCCAGGGCAGAGCCATCCCCTTTGCAGGCTGCCTGGTGCAGATGTACGCATTCCACTTGTTTGGCACCATGGACAGCTTCCTCCTGGCCGTGATGGCCATTGACCGCTTCGTAGCCATTGTCTACCCTCTGCGCTACTCGATCCTCATGAGCTCCCGTGTGTGTGGGCTGTTGGTGGGGGGACCATGGGTGATCACCAACCTCCAGTCTCTAGTGCACACCTGCCTTATGGCCCAGCTGACCTTCTGTGATGGCTCTGAGATCCCCCACTTCTGTGACCTCATGCCGCTGCTGAAGCTCTCCTGCTCAGACACACACACCAACGAGCTGGTCATCTTTGGTTTTGGCATTGTCATGGGCTTCAGCCCACTGTCCTGCATCCTTCTCTCTTATGTCTGCATCTTCCGGGCCGTGTTGAAGATCCCTTCTGCCCAGGGCAAGTGGAAAGCCTTCTCCACCTGCGGCTCCCACCTCACTGTGGTGTCACTGTTCTACGGGACCATTTTTGCCGTGTACCTACAGCCCGCTTCGCCCGCCTCCTCGCAGAAAGACAAGGCTGCGGCCCTGATGTGTGGGGTGGTCATCCCCATGCTGAACCCCTTTATCTACAGCCTAAGAAACAAGGACATGAAGGTGGCTCTAAGGAAGCTCCTAGGCAAAGCAGCCCCCTCTCATTCCTAGGACGGAAAAGTGCTTGTGTCTGTCGTATCCAAGATCACCTTGGGGACGTAGAGACGGGCCCCATCCCTTATGGGTTTCATAGTGCTCCCTAAATAAAATGTGCTGAATTCCTAGCCCTTATGGAGAAAAGACATCCCGGCTCTTGAGAATAGTCCATGCGTGGTATTTCTGTTAGGACAACACTAGGAAACTAAGACACCCCCTCCCATCCCTGTGCCAAAGAGCTCAGAGGGTCTCCAAAAAGTCAACATCATTTAGTCGATTCCAACTCATAACGAGCCTACAGGACAGAGGAGACCTGACCCTGCGGGTTTCCAAGACTTTTCAATCCTTACAGGAGCGAAAAGTCTCCACTTCCTCCCAAGGAGCAGCTGGGGGTATTGACCGTCCCAATGTGTAACCTACTATGTCACCGTGGGGGAATAAAAACCAGTTGCTATGGAGATGACCATGATTCCCGGTGACCCGGTGTGTGTCCGATGGAACTGTGGCCCAGAGAGTTTTCAGAGGCTGTTTTTCCAGCAGTAGATCACCAGGCCTTTCTTCCAAGGTTCCTCTGGGTGCGGGGGTTCTCACCTCCAACGTGTCCACTAGCAACCAACTGTGTTGATGGTTTGCACCACCCCAGGATGCTGGGCATTACTGAGTGGATGCTATTGTTGTTGTCGTTGACAGGTACTGTCGAGTCAGTTCCGACTCACAGTGACCCCCTCTGGGCACCAGAACAAATCACTGCCCGGCCCGGTGCCATCCTCGCAATTGTCCTTCCGTCAGAACCCTTCGCTGCAGCCACTGTGCCCATCCATCTTGTCTTCCTCTTTTTCGCTGCCCCTCTCCTTTACCAAGCATGATGTCCTCTTGCAGGGACTGGTCTCTCCTGACAGCATGTCTGACGTCAGTGAGACTAAGTCTTGCTATCCTTGCCTCTAAGGGGGCACTCTGGCTGTATTTCTTCCAAGACAGAGTGAATCATACTAGCTTGTTTAGGTTGAATGGAAGAAGCACACTGGCCTGTCCCAACTCGATTGCTGAGGACAGAGTGGGTGCATAAGCAAAAGTTGTGAAGAAATCTGATGGTGCCCGGCTATCAAATGATATAGCATCTGGGGTCTTAAAGGCTTAAAGACAATCAGGCGGCCATCTAGCTAAGAAACAACAAAGCCCACACGGAAGAAATACACCAGCCTACTCCGGCACAAGCGCTGAAGACAAAGTGGGTGCATAGGCAAATGCGGTGAAGAAAGCTGATGGTGCCCAGTTGTCAAAATATATAGAATCTGGGGTCCCACAGGCTGGAAGATAAACAAGGGGCCATCTAACTGAGAAACAACAAAGCCCACATGGAAAATGCACACCAGCCTGTGAGATGACAAGGCGTCAAAGGGATCAGGTCTCAGGCATCAAAGACCAAAAAAAAAAAAAAAATCATAGCCTTGTGAATGAGGGGGAGTGCAGAGTGGGGACCCAGGGCCCATCTGGAGGTGACGAGCCAGTCAGAGTGCAGTGTAGCAATGATGAAACATACAATTTTCCTCTAGCTCTTAAATGCTTCCTCTCCCTTCCCCCCGCCCCCATCATGATCCCAATTCTGCCTTACATATCCAGCTGGACCGGAGGATGTACACTGGCACAGATAGGAACTGGAAATACAGGGAATCCAGGACAGATGAACCCCTCAGGATCAGTGGTGTGAGTGGCAAAATCGGGAGGGTGGAGGGAGGGTGAGGGAGAAAGGGGGAACAGATGACAAGGTCTACATATAACCTCCTCCCTGGAGGACGGACAGTGGAGAACTGGGTGAGGGAGATGTCAGATGGTGTAAGATATGATAAAATAATAATTATTTCTAAATTATCAAGGGTTCAGGGGGAGGGGGAGTGGGGAGGGAGGGAAAAATGAGGAGCTGATACCAAGGACTCAAGTAGAAAGCAGGTGTTGTGAGAATGATGATGCAGCATATGTACGAATGTGCTGGTCACAAATGATGTATGTACGGATTGTGAAAAGAGTTGTATGAGCCCCTAATAAAATGATTTTTTTAAAAACATCAGATGCTGACCATGCCATTGATTACAATTTATAGGAAGCTTTTACATTTTTATGATAGCTGCTTATAATATATAACAATTTTTTATCAATGATAATATATTTTATTTATTTTGGAATTAAGCTGTTCCTACAGAGTAAATAAATCAGAATTGACTCCATTGAAAAAAAAACAACAGTTCCAAATCATGGTTACCCTCTATTCAGTAGGCAAAATATTGCGCTGGCCTGCACCATCTGCCCCATCACTGGTATGTTTGAGTCGATTGTTCCGGCATTGCCTCCACCCCCTCGCATTAAGGGTTTCCCTCGTCTCCCTCAAACACCCCAGCTTCACCAAACACAACAACCTTCACCAGCAGCCGGTCCCTCTTGATGAACACTCAGATCCGTGAGTCGGGGTCTCAGACAATGCCAGTGATCCATGAGGCTGTCGCTGGCCGGTGTTCAGCAGTAGATTGCCAGACCTTTCTGCCCAGTGCACTTTCATCTGGAAAACCAACCCCCCCACCAAAAATAACCAGAAACTCAGACAAACAAACTTCCTGCCATCGAGTTCAATGGCGACTCACGCAGACCCTATACGACAGGTTAGAACTGCTCCATGGGTTTCCAAGACTGGAACTCTTTATGGGAGTAGAAAGCCTCGTCTTTCTCCCACGGAGCCATCAGTGGCTTTGAACTTCTGACCTTGTGGTTAGCAACCCAAAGCGTAACCACTGTGATACCAGGGACGCTTCGCTGAAATCTGTCCACCCTGGGGTGTTTGAGATACGGATGGCACAGCTGCCGAGTCAGACAACACGCAAGCCGCTGCAGCACCCCAACCGGATGGTGGTGGAGGCGAAGGGAGCCCGGGTGGCAGCGCGGGTTACACATTGACCTGCTAATTGCAGGGTCAGCGTTTCAGCGTTCGAACCTACCATGCTTCTCCACGGGAGAAAAAGAGGCTGCCTGGTCCCTTAAAGATAGTCTCTGAACTTTAAAAGAGGAAGTTCTCCTGCGTCCT